CTTTATTACGTAGGTGGTAACGAACCGCCGCGAGGCCATTATGCAGCGATAAAATGCGCGATGTGTCTACACGTTTTCCGTCACACACGGCTCACCTGGCGATTCTTCGTCGACACGCACACGCGTCGATGTTGACCCGCTCGTTTGATGCGTATTCGCCTACCGCAGTCGTTTCGTCGCGTTACGCAGTCGCCATGGTTACACGAAATTCTATTCGCTTTCTGAACGGGACCCGTGCACGCGCGGTGTCCACAGAACCTCGTCGACCAGGGAATTTCTCTCTCTCCTTTTTTTTTTATTTTACTTTATTTAATTGCACGTGTAATGGCCGTGCAGATTTGTCTGTAATTCTGCTCGCGCTGCTGGATTTTCCAAGCGGGACATTTCGAGCTTTTCCGCGGAACCAACCGAGGGGATTCTGGAAACCCCAGACTATAGTTCTCTTTCTCTTTCCCTCCGTTTCTCTCTTTTTCTCTCGAGTGTAGGTGGAGATTGTCGGTCGAGTAGGAACGCGGAATTAAAGGTAGAATTTCGGTCGAGGTTAAATGTTTACTTGAGCTGGTTATTGTACTTTTTGCAGGATTTAGCTGTCGAGGAAGAACTACGAAATTGTAATGAGCAATTGCGTGGATTATGTTACTTATGATTTCGTAATTAGTGCTCTTGACTAATACTGTTGTAGTCGTCTTTATCTCTGAATAAAACGAGGTGGGCGAATTGTGGGACTAGGAGTATTGCAGCACTTTTTATAAGAAATTTGTTACAAATACGTCTGCAGGCTGGAGAAGCTTTTGTAGAATATCTACAATTTAATTGGAGAACATTTCATTAGGTTTTCTGTGTAGGCCAATCTGAGATACAAAGTATGCTAGTGAAATATACTTATGTATGTAACAATATCTGATCTAATATAATAATTTCACACTCAAGATACATTACAATTGAACTTTCTCTTGATTACTACCTTATGTAGAATACCAAATCAAGTCAAAACGTAATTCATAACTAATAACATATAATATGGTAATATCACATTCCGAGCTCATTACGCTTGCAAGGTTGCACTCGAGAGCAAAGTCCCACGTATCAGGGCCATAGGTTTCCTAATCGCCCCAACTTTTTGCCTCATCCCCGCCCACTCTGAAAAGAAGACCTCGTCCCAGTTTCCAGAATCACTTTGTACATTACCGCAGTCTATAATCTCTGGTACGGACGGTGGTTGTTCCATCAGAAATAAAGCATGAACCTACGCCGGAGGGTAAAAAGCACACAGACACAAAGGACCTTTCGAGAAATCGAGGGAAAGAGCGTGGCAGCGTTTAGCAAAAACTGCACACTCCTGCGAGTCACGAGCGCAGTTTCGCTAATGCGCGCATAATCGTCGGTAGCGTCATCGCGACTATCCAAAAACGACGCACGAACCCATCCCCTAAAGTGAGCCATGTTTCCAGAATGACAATGAGCGCGCTTTGAACGCGTCGCGCATCGTCGTCTCCGCGAAACTCGATTTCAGTCTGCGCTGGAAGCGTGTCTTCGATACGCCGCGCACTCAACAACAATTTTTCCTTCCGTCGTGCAACCCCCCGGTAATATATTCGAGTCCTACGGAGCGAGTGGAGGCGGTTTATCCTTATCGTTCGAGGAATTCCGCTTCTCCACCGCGAGAGGCGGCAATTTCAGCGGAGGGCGAAGATGACGCTCATCCGTGCTGGCATTTCTCAGGCTGATGTCCGTACACGGTAGGGGTGGGTGCACTTCACCCTCAGGAGAGGGTTGAACGCGAACGCGCTAGGTGTAGGGGTACGTGCGCGCCGTATTTTCCAGGGAAAAGTCGCGGCTTCCGCTACGGCTTCGGGTGTCTCTGAGAAAGAGCCACTGCGTGACACGAGGGGTTGGACGGGGTGGCAGGGGATGGATGGCACGAGGGATTGGATTTGGTTATGCGTCGCCACGTCCGGGCTGGATTTGTCGCCGTCACCTCCTTCGACCTCTTCTCGATGAAAGACGGAACCCGTTGGAAAAGACGAACTTTCTTGGAACAACTCCGCGGCGAGGCTGAAGGGGTATACATTTTTCTCACCCCCTCCAACCCTCGGTTAAGAGAACGTCAGTCGTAACTTTGGCTGTCTTCTCGCGAACCATGGAGGGGAATGATCCTTCGAGCCAATTCATTAGGAGGAACTGATCTAGGATTCTCAAGGATAGGTGTGTTAAGGGATGTGGAATGATTTTTATTGTACACTAGTCTGTTGAGGTTGACGAAATCGCAAATTTCGAACCTCCTACGGGAAAAAAAAATTTACATAAATTCGACAAATTAAAGTGATAAGACAAGTAGAGAAACCTTTTAACCCTTTCGGACCTGACTACTATACTTAAAACTACACTATTAGGATTAAAAACAAATTTTCCATACTGATTTCAGAGAAAGTCAACCCTAAAAACTAAATTATATTAGTACGAGAAAAATAAATAATTCAGGTCTGAAAGGGTTAAAATGATATGTAATTACAGCACATTTCATTGGGCCTCAAAGTAGCACATTAATTTTTCTAATTCACGCGTTTAGCGCTGTCTCCTCGTTAACATTGCCCCCGGTCGTCACAAGTATCCGCGAGTAGACACACCCGTAACAATGAAAACGGCAATAACGATCATAACAGAAGAGAATAATCGTTTGTGCAAATTTCGTTAAGATCAGCACGACGTGTTCGCAGCACGTTACACAGCTGAGTTATTACCGCGTCTGAATTACTCGCGACGCGTCCCCATCCACCGTTCCCTTCTGCGAACAGCGCACGCGACAATAAAAACACCACTTTGCGCGAATGCCAGTCGCTCGGAAGAGCCCAGTCCCCTCTCGTCCTTCCTTTCTCTTCTTTTTAATTCATCAAGTTTAGAGCTAGGCGATGTAGATGTCAAACGTTTTATACCGCAGTTTTATACGCGCGTTTATATCGCCGTATCTTCGTGGCTGTCATTAGGCTTCCCTTTTATGTCCGTTTTTTATGAAAGAACACGGTGTATCCCCCTCGATCGCAGCACCCAATATGTCTGCGCGATCGTTCTAGCTTACCGTGGGAAATATTTCCAATTCCTCTTCTTTGAAACCGTTTCGATGAAGTGTCAGTCATCCTTTAAGTACAATTCTCGAAGACTTCGAGCTCTCTTGGTTTCACGAGCTGTCCTGAAGTATTCGAGTGCCGTTACATCCACGAAGACAGGCTCGTGAAGTTTTTCCTCGACCTTAATGGGAAATTCTGAGGTCGCGTCGTGACTTCTCGGCCTCCGACTTCCATTTTGAGCGACGTTTTATTTACTCGAAAATCGGATCGGGGATCCGAGACACTTCACTCTGACATTTCAAGTCGTATTTCGCTCGGGGGATTCCAGAGTATCAACTCTCTCGCCCGACGTTCCCATTCCTCTTCGTCTACTCCCTCTATGGCGCAAGGTCTACCAGTTTGTTAAGAATTCTTCTCTCGCGCTTCGCTGAATTGGGAAGTAATTGGGAATTTTTTGAGGGGGTGAAATGGAAGGGGGACCTTGGCCAAAGTTTGTACGTGGTTTTGTTGGATACTTAGCAGGGTTCTAGAATTTTTGTAACCGGGAAATCGATTTATAATGACGGGGAAACCATCAATCTTCGCCTCGTGACGCGGGCTGAAGCTACATGTATGCTGCAGTTCTTCGTGGGCAAGAACCAATATCTGTTTTCTTCAATCTTTCAATATTAATTATGTATAATTTCTTCTCAATCTCAATTTATTTTCATTCGATGATCACTTTGAATTAACGAATAGAAATCCAGTTTTCAACACACTTTAACAATACCACGCAAAATTTAATTGAAAAAATTGTGTACGATGCGTGTATCTTGCAAAATTGAACAGAAGTTGCACGAATTCTCCAGCATAATTTCATAAACACAGTCTAAACATCCCACTCCTTCGTCGATTTCCTTTTATAAACCCTCACAGGGTGGAAACCCTTTAACCTAAATGGTACAGCGCCACAGGTGGTAACTCTGCATTTTCTGCTCCGTACCGGGAGCTCATCAGCGTCAGTCACTTTACGCATTACCGAATAGATTATTAACGGGTTAATAATGTTCCACCACCCGTTCTCCACCCCTCTCTCATCCCCCTGCTGGCCGTGTCCATGGTGCCGGGCGCACACGTGATGCTCGAGGAATCTACCTCGACTTTAGCCCGCCGCGGTTTATCGTCGATCCGCCATCTCGGAGACGGGAGAATTTTATATGCACCCCTTTCGTTTTAGTAATTTTAGGGGTAGACGCGCGTGTTCTGAACAATAAAACCCCTTTCGCCGCGCCCGGCGACCGCCTGTTCATTGTGTCGCGGAATATCGGCCAGTCATGGCGTTGGCGTTCATAAAGTTTATTAGACTACCAACGGTGGTAGCACTAAGCACCACCCCCGCTGCTTTCCGTCCAGTGCATTAGCGATCGGCGCCGTCGAAGAACAATTTTCGTTCGTCGTTCCTTTCGTCGAATAATCCTCGTGGCGGGGTGGGATTGTGATGATTCTTGAAAACGAATTTATGTACTGAATTATTTAATACGTCGTGGTGAAGTTAAAAAATAAAAAGTGTGCAAATTTGGTGAGGCGTAGTTACGTAGAGACACATTCCTTGTAGACCCTCCAGACTATAGAATCTTGACCATTTGCGATCCTATATCGAGTGAGCCTCGACAAAAATGTACTGAAATCAAAATATTTTGAGTGGTAAGGATTACTTGGACAATAGATCGACCCTTGTAAGATTCAGCGAGTAACTTGAATTTTTCCTGATTCTTATAAGAATTTAAACTTTTCCTCGTGACAAGTAACCATAAATACACTTGCTCGAGCACTTACCACAAAATGATTCTCAAGTATCGCTTAACCCACAGGACTCCGACCTCGAGACACGCCGAATTCATTAAAAAAAAAAAAGGAATCAACACGGTCTGACGTCTCGATTTCATTCTGTTCCAGGAGAGAAGCCGTACAAGTGCAGCTGGGAGGGCTGCGAGTGGCGATTCGCTCGCTCGGACGAGCTGACGCGCCACTATCGCAAGCACACCGGCGCGAAACCGTTCAAGTGTCGGCATTGCGACCGATGCTTCTCCCGCAGCGATCACCTAGCCCTCCACATGAAGAGACACGTGTAATCGATCGTTCCCGCGAGCGGTCCTCCACGCGCGTAGCTGTCCAGGACCGACGCGCGAGGCTCCTTCCTACCCCAAAGGGTTCACGAGGACGATCACCGAGCCTCGACTCCTCGTGACACCATTTCTTCCACGGACATACCCTCGACGATTCATCGAACCTCGACTCGACGTCCACTGGCACGCGATCGTGCGGACTCGTCATGGCGACGATCGTCTCGACGTCCAACGTGGCGTCTCTAACGGGAATCGAGGATCAGGCCAACCGGAAAACGTCCACTTCCGGTGGCAGTCGCGTTCTCTCGAGTGATAGGAACTGGTCGAAGATCGAATCCGTAGCTGCGTTGTTCGGGCCAGAGATGGGCAGAACTCTTGTCTAGATAAAAATCATGAATAACGAATAAATAAATTAACCCTTCGATAAGACTGTGCGTGGAAGGCTCTTTCCCGCGTTGGATAGGTACAAATCACCCTGGTCGATCGAGTACTTTCTGAGTGTACCAGTCAGAGGGTTGAATCAAAATTAGAATTCGAATTATAGAGATATTATATTGCGCGGTGAGCAAACGAAAATTTGAAAACGTCGCGAGTAAATTGTTATTTGTTTTATTCGTTGTTTGTAAAGGGAATTTTGCCCGTCTCTGATCGAGAGTATATATCGGTGGGATGGGAAATCGCGATCGGTTAACGCGTGCTCTTCACCGTTCCCTTCGAGGCAGATCTGGTCGCAACGGCGGAGAAGCTCCTACGACGAAGCTGGAAAAATGCTCGAGGGTATTCTCTGCGCGATAAGAGAGCGATCGAGACAGGACCGAGTCGACGACGATCGCGCAGAGATCGTAGCCGATCAGTCGGGGCCTCCCGGGACGCGAGTAACTGGAAACCAGCGCGAGGAGTCTCGATCGAGACCGAAATCACTGCCAATTCATTAAATTCTAAGATCACAGCTACACCGTCGAGGATTTTCAGATATCTCAGATAACTGGTGTAGGAGATGGGGATGAGAGCAAGCTACTAACGAGAGATGGGCAAAATTCTTCTCCAGATGAATTTCGAAATAAAAGATATTTAATGGATTATTTGTCGAACAGAAAATCCAATTAAAATTATTGTCATGAATAGGATCTTGTTTGAATAATTGTTCCATCGAGTGGACCCTACGAATAGGTCTCTGCACTGAGTGGTTATTCATCTCCTATTATTCAAATAAAATGTCGAGTAATGCATAAAAGATGAACACCTTTTCATTATTCGTTCAATGAAAACTTGTATCAAAGTATTCGTCATGAACAAGTAGAATCATGCTCGAATAATTTTGATAAAATGAATAATTTCTTTACAAACCCAGTCCAATGAATAGACGCTTATTCTAGCAAGTGCCAGTTTAATTGAATACATCTTTTGAATAAATTGTTACACAGAGCTTTTATTTGTCATCTGAATAAGATTCTGTCCATCTCTGTCTCAAATAAAACTGAGTCGTTCCGCGACAACGGTGCCCGGGACTTGTAAGCCGTCTGCCTCCCGTAAAACGGTCGAATTTTCGAAACTGAGCGCAGTGGCATGTCGAAAACGTGGATCGAAAACATCGAAAGCGATCTCTGACGCGACGTCGCGTCGAAGGCGTCGCGACGCGTTCGAACGAAAGTCGAGGAGTCCCGGTTCGCGAGGACAATAATGCTGTCTGTCGGTGCCAAACGTTATATTCCTCTGTCTCACTCACTTTTCTCTCAGACACATTCACGCGCGTGTACACTAGGGATGTTATGTCATGGCATGCATCGATTTTTTAAATCAAGAATCAATGCTCAGTTTTTCAACCTCCCTTCATGCGCGGAATTTCCTTTTCCTTTTCTTCGAGCTACGCGTGAATTTCGTTCTTTCTTTTTGCGATAAAAGAAAGCATTTTTGTTGGATTTATTGAATATTGTTAAATAATTATTGAAAGATGAAATGACAGAGAATATTTATATTCAAGATTTATAGAATAAAAAATGTTTCTTATACAATATTTATAGTTAATAATTTCTAAGGGTCGTGATCCAGTAGTGGAAAACACTAGTCTACTGCACAGTGTCCTCAAATTCCATTCAAAGTATGTAGAAATACGTACAAAAGCAATGACTTTTTTATGAGAATACTTAATATTTCTACAAGTTTAGATGAATGATTTCCCTCTTGAAAGTTAAAATAAAATTCACGCAGTAAATGATTCAGCATTCTCCTCAGACAGTACCTACCAAATGATTTACTATTTTTTAATTCACCCCTATTGAACAAATAGCTATTAAACGACAGCTAAATTGACACTTAATTCCTGATCAACTTTTGCATATAATATTTTCAATGCAAATATACAATTCCAATATTACAGTATCCAACTAATGGCTTTTAAATCTGTTTCAAGAACAAAATTAACTTTTTTTTTTAATCAAACATTCCTATTGTACACAATCTTTCCTCCACTCTATCTCTGGCGAACAGAGGCTCGCAGGAAAGCTGTTCGCGGCTCGAAAACGTGCACGGCGCGTTCGAGCTTCGATCTTTCGACAGAGGCTGCAATAATCGAAATTGTGTTTCGTGGAGGCCTGAAACAACGGGACGGGGGTGCGAGAGGGTTACGAGGGGAGTGCAGAAGCGGGACGAGCCGTAATTGAATACGTGATTTCGGCCAGTTTCGACGGAAGCAAAGTTTACCGTGTCGCGCGCTAATCCCGAATTTACAGTGCGAATTACATAGCGAGGCTCAGCTTCTCCCAATCACCGCCCCCCCCCCCCCCCTCTTTCTATTACGCCTAGTTTCCCAGCAGGTAGTTTTGAGAAAAATTTCGTAGATTCGACCGCTTTACCACAGATACGTTCACGAGCGATTCTCGAAAAAGAAAGAGCCACTTTTGGTCACAGTCTTGGACAAAATTGTATTCCACGATTACAGTTACTCGGCAATCTCGATGATAATCACGTTTTAACGAATAATTGCTAATCGTGATCGATAACGCACGACAACAATCAGACACGATTAGCTCTAAACAATTACAAATTAATTATTTATGATTGCAGGTTACATGTGCAGTTTACGGTTACCGATTAATCCGATTCCGAGAGATTGTTAGGAGAGTAATCATTGTCCGACTGTGGCAAGTGGTGGCAAGACTTTCTCGCTCAGGAAATCGACTGATGAAACGGGGTTTCTTTCGCTAGTGGCGCGCGTGTCCAATGGTTTTTAACAAACACACAGAAAAAAAAAAAACGAAAAAACGGAATCTGACTTTGTACTTTTGTACGATTGCTTTCTTAGGCGACGTTCTCCCGTTCGTTTAATCGCGCGCACGTTCGCGCAGCGACGAAGCGGTGTCGCGCCCTAAGCGGGGGGGAAGATTCACGTCGGAGGCTCAACAGAAATAAATGAAATATATATATATTTTTTAATATTCTCGTCTTACTCACCGAAACAATATATATATTATACATAAGGGACAAAATAAACGGGCAACATTCCGCACAAAGCTTTAGAGAACCGTTTCCACGCGTCAGGCTCAGCCCCCCGACCAAGGGTGCGCCACCTCGCTGTAGCGTTCGCGCGAGCGAACGGAGGCCAGGCGGCGAGCGTCGCGACGGCACCGTGTTCCAGGTCACGGACGGGCAGAATTCCGAAGAAGCTTCGTGTAACGAACAAGAGTCACGCGATTGCTTGTGCCATTTACTCGTAAAAAATCAAATTCAAATTGGATACTATAGAATAAAATATTTCAAAATGGAGAAATTCGATTCGAAGGAGTTATACGAATCGCGAATAAATCGCTGCGGATTGCTTCTATTCGTTATCCCAATTTATCGAGATGAAATTTCGCCCGTATCCGTGTCCAAGGGACGCCAGCTTCCCGAGGAGTCGTGTTCGCTGATCGTCGATCTTCGACCGATCGACGGGAACGTGGAGTCGCGCGACGAGATCACGGCGAATTGGGGTTAACCGTTGGAAGCGTCAGATGAGAACGAAGAACAGCGGGGGTCGCTCATCGAACGAGTGGAGAACAAAATAGAGTAGTAATATAGTAATAATGATAACGATAATACCGAGATGCGAGTGGTGATCGAAATGTGCGTGGACGGGAGGGGGAGGGAGGGGGGGGGGAGGCGTGTAGGCGTTCTACCGCTTAAGGAGACTAATCTTACCTGATGAGGACGAGGTCGGCGTACGCAAAACGAAAGATAAGAGAAATGAAACTAAATTTTAAATGTTCAGTGGCCAAATAAATTAACTGATAACGCACGTAGAACGTAAACGATACCGTACCTACTAAGTAAGCCTGACTGACGAGAGTGTCGTTGACGCGGCGTGGGCGCGAGACCGTGTGGCTGCGTGTGTATATGTGCGCGCGCGCGCGCGCGTTAATTCAGTGTCTGCACGTGAAAGGGGGTGCGTCTAGGGGCGCGTGCATGCGAGTGTTCTGTTTTTTTTTTCTCGCGAGAATGTGTTCCAAGAGAGAGAAAGAGAGAAAAAGTTGATTACACGTGGGAGAGAGAAAGTTCGAGGGCGGTGGTTCCAACGAACACAGACGAATCCGCGGAAGAAGCGACAAGGTGAGAGCAGAACACTAAGTTTGTATATTGTGCAATTTTTGTCAGTGTTTCATTATTTGTTACCATGTTCACGGATAATTATAAATAAAGTAAATATATATACGCAGCATTTACAAGATTTAGGATAAACGAGGATTACGAAAGAGCGAGAGAGCGCGAGAGTGTATGCGAGTGAAAGCCAGATGTCTTTTTGATAGCCATATATTGCGAGTATCGTGCGGCGTTTCCGCGAGAACGTCCCGACCAGCGCTGGATTAAGATTTTGTGGAACCATGAGGGCTGCTGACACTGCGGGGAACCCAGTAGTGTTGGGGTACATGTAGTTGTGATTAATGAGTTTTGAAATTCACAATTATTTATTTAGAATTGCAGGTTACGAATGGAATGTATCATATGGTTGCATAAATAGTCACAAAATATTCAGAAAGTATTATAGTCACCACTCTATTTTGGGTCTCGGTCAAATTTTGCTAATGTAGGAAAGAGATCAAGGTAAAAACTGATTTTTTTTATGCAAGATCAACAGCAATTAAAATTTCTTGAAATACAATCACCTCAACCACTGTTTCTTCAGTTCGCGCGACCTATCGACTCGAGTGGTCCGTTTCAGTTTGACCAGTTCCAGGAACAAGTTCTCAATCTCTGTTCATAATACCCGAAAGTTCCATTTTGTCTTCAAGAAAGAAAACAATACTCATAAATGTAACAATTCAAATGTAACATAAAGCTTCAATTCAAAGCTACCTTCAACATTACAGCATGGAAACAATTCCATTAATTTTTGAGAGTCTCTGGACTATAGCCCCTGAAATCCTCAATGCCTTAATCCGGTCCTGGCTCCGACCACTCTTTTTTCTCTATATTTCTTTCTGTTTCTTCGCTTCTGGTGGACGAGGTGAAACGCAAACACGAAAACGACGTTTGTCGTCAGAGACATACAAAATTTCTATCTAGATAAAATGTCGAATAACGAATAAAAGATAATTTCTTATTCGTTACTCGTAGAATAACAATTAGAGTTTCTATTATGAAATGAAATATATTTAAATGAAAATTTTGCTGTCTGATCGAGTAAACATCACGAATAAATTGATGTATATTGGTTTTATTCGTCATCCGTTATTCGAATGAAATTTTGCTCGTCTTTGGTCGTCGCTGGATCGCGGCGAAAGGTCGAGTTGACGAGCGATTCGGGTTTGGGCGACGAGCGTTTCGTGCATTTTCATCTTGGCAACCAAAACCCTGTAGATATATTATATACATACACATATATAAAATATATAGAGTGATTCAATAACTATTGTGGTCTGAAGTAACTTGGTGTTTATTGACTTTTAGAAAATCTTGTTCGTATAATATATGTTGTATTTGATGAGAGGCACATGAAACGAAAGCTGCAAATTTTTTCTGGAGTAGTCAGATTCTATTAGTTCAGAGCACAGTAACTTGTCTTTAACGATTGCCAATAAATGTTAACCACTACTAGTGTAGTATAGTTTGCAATCCTTTCGAATACAAAAATTCATGCAAATAATGCATGCTTGCATTAATATGCAAAATACTAAAAAAAAATATATGCAGGATCATACGATGAGCCCCGTCGAACACGACATATTTTATAACAAAACAATTTTTCCCTTGATCGATAAATATCAAACCTACTTCAGATGGCGATAATTATCGACTCGCCCCGTATGTTTGACGAACGTTCGAACGAAAGTGAATGCGAGTGCATTGTTGCAAACTCCGAGAGACGCGAAATAAAAAAAAAAAAAAAAGCAGACGAAACAGGAGCGACAGATGCACGTGTAATTAAGCAGCGGGTAATAGAGCGAGAGAGCGGACACCTTAAGAACTAATAAATGGTAGTTAGAAGTTTAGATAGATAGATGGATAGCTAGACCGTTAGATAGACACCTTAGATAGGCAGACAAAATAGATCAACGGAGAGGGGAAAGGAGAACGAAAAGGGGTTTTGGGGAGGGGTGGGTTGGGGCGGGGGGCATCGGGTGGTGTTGAAAAAAAGAGTTATTATATATAAAAAAAAAAAGTCTATAAATATAGATAGGTGGATATACATAGATAGAGGTGTAAGTACCTAAGAAAAACTCTAAGGAACCTTTTAGAAAGAAGCTGTATCGTTGTACGATAAGTGGACATAAGTGTTTTATGATACTCCCGTACAATAAGGTCGAGGTGAACGGTGAGGAGCAAAGATACTACGAATATTCCGGAACGTAAGGGAAACGATTAAGTTGGGGGAGAAGAACAAAAAATGTTTAAAAACGTATACATATAGAGGAGAAAACGAAACTATGGGGGGAGGGGGGGGGGGTGGTAAAGAACGAACGACAGACGCGTTCGTAGCCCGACGGATAACACGGAACGCGCGGCACGATTGTAATTGTATTACTGTGGTCTAAGCTATTTTCAGTCACGTTGTATAGTAACTGTAAATTACAGGACTTTAAGTGGTTAGCGAGAAAGATAGCGTGTGCGTGTAAGGAAGAGCGAGAGCGAATGAGCGAATGAGTGAGCGAGAGGATGGACCAGGAGGAAAAGAGAAACGACAGGAAGGAAGAAACGAAACGCGATCAGCATAACTTCGCAAAATGAAGGACGATGAGGGAGTATTGTACGAAATGGTAGGGAATGGGGGGTGGGGGTGGAAATAGTGGATTGCTGTCGTCGTCGAATTTTGCGAAATTGTACAGAATTCTGACGGGGAAACGATCTAGTTACGCAGAGGTCGTGAGGAGGGATGAAGAGAGGAATTGAGCTTCTGGAGAGTATACCTTACGGCGTTTCAGTAGCCGGTTAGATTTCACAAACGGAAGTGGATATTCGTTGCTGATGTATTGTCAGGGGCGTGAGAGCCGAGGGTGTTAAGCTAATTAACAATTAGAGCGGTGCAAGGTGATCGTCGTTGGCCATTGGAGGCTTTCGAGTACTGTACCATACTTTCTTAATCTCTTCGTGCCATCATATCGTTTTTTCAATGCACATAATTTATGTTATAGTAGCAACTGTGAGCTTTTACTTTATCGAATTAATTATTATTTACTTCTGTCTCATTCACGAAATAATTGTACAACCTCGAAAGTTAGCGGATCAATACAATTATTATATCTTACTTCATCTTTATTTTCTCAATTTTATAACTTGCGCCATAAAATAGACTAATGTGCATCGAAAGAAAAAAATAATATTCATTGTATCTAGGTGCGAGCACGAAAGGGGTTGAAAAGTACTCGAAGAACATGTGTTTATCATAAAATTATTTCCACAAAAATTGTTCTTCTTTTACACATTTGAAACGATTCCAATCGCTTACATCGAGGGAGAATTTATTTTTCCCTGGTTGGTTAAAACAGATTTCCATTGTCCGCGAGCCTTGCATCGCACCAGAATAGGGGTAGGAAATTTGATGCACTATGAACTGTTATTTTTCGGAAATATCATCGTTAGAAAAGATTTAACTAACTAACGAAAGGGAAACTGATCGGAGCACCACCGTACAGGGGATGGGCAAAATTGTATTCGAATAATAGATGACGAATGATCTAAACGCACATCGATTTGTTCGATTGAACACCCACAATTGTATTTATATAATATTCTAACTGAAATTCTAATTTTTATTCAGCGAGTAGCACTTTTATTTGTTACCCGAACTTTGTGTCTAGTTGAGGTACAATAATTTTGTCCATCTCCGCTACCGTAGGCTCTGTCAGGTTCTGTGTGATAAAGTTTGAGTGAGAATACAAGCGAAAGATAGTAGAATTGAAAACGAGAAGAGGAGACGGAAGCACACGGAAGAACGAAATGAGGAACGTGTGAGGGGCGCTGTAGGTGAACGCACGGTGACGAAAAAGTGGAGAGAGAGTGTGACATTTTAGAGGAAGAGAGAGAGAAAGAGAGAGAGAGGGAGAGAGAAACAAAGTAAACAAAGTCGAGAGACACCTATATTTTTAAAAAGTGACCTTTGGCATTTAAAGACTTATAAAAATCGTGCAACGAGTTAAGTAAAACAAAGAACAAACAAAACCACGAGGGCGCAGTGTATTAAGAGGCGTCCGTCCTTCTCCGTGTCTCTATTTCATCTCACACGATGCACACATCAACAGAAACACACACACACACATGCCACGCATATAAGGGAAACACTTGGAAGAATAAAATGAAGCCAAAAGAATCACAAGCCGTGGGGTAAATTCGTTTATTCTCACTGTACATTGTGTTATTTTCACTGTACAACACACCGACGCGAATCTTTCGACAACACATACGTATGCATACGTATACAGCAGAAAGCGTGGCCACACGCTCGAGAAAAATAAATTCAAACGAGGATCGCCATTCGTACGCAGCTGTATACGGTTGTGCTTGGTTAAATGAGAAAATTTCGGATATATGAAAAAAAGATTATCTACCCCACTGTTTCTGTTTCCTCGACTCGAGCAACCCGCAGCGTTGCTAGCAAGACATGGTCGAACTACAAAGCGGTGCTACACGCGTGTGGATGCGACAGTCACTGATGCAAACGAAAAACTTTTCTATTTCTTATTGTTGTTTTGTGAAAGCGGCACCAACGAGTTGGTAGAGGCTTTTCATTGAAAATGAAACTGGACAATTTTTTTAACAGGGACCTTCAATGTGAATGTATCGTAAAAGCAATGTAGGCACATTATTGTATTATTATAATTACTAAAAGCTTCGTAAGAATATTAAATAGTTAAAATTGTTTGATATTGGCATCGCTCTGATCATCATTTTAGATACGACAGAATATCGCGAGTAAATAACGTAGCAATGGCAATCTATTTACTTTTGCATTAGTGACTGCCACGGCAGACCGCGCGAGGCACCGTTTTGAAGTTCGGTACCCGAGCACAGAATAATATGAGTCGATTGCAGTACTGCTCTGACTCTCAACGTCGGATGGTCGATTCCTGGAATCAATTCGCGACCAAACCCGACTAATTGAGAATTTCCAGTGCCGATGTTTCTCATTTAATCGGGCGCCGCTGCTCCCGTATTTATGCGCGTCTGGGACGACGAGGACGCAGGGTGAAAACGGGGAGAAGAGGGACAACGGTGAAAGGAATCCGACGATTGGAGGAAAGACGAAATGAATTCGATCGCGACCAACGGGGGAGAAGGATTTGGGAGGGTAAATTGGAGTTGGGGAGAGAGGCAAACAATGCATTCCGTTAGAAACTCGCTTTTCACGAGGTGCACGAGAACCGAGACGACGATTCGACGTCAACGAATCGCCATGTCGTCGGTCTACCTCGAGGCCTAACAAAAATGGAACCGAACGATTTCGGCACGTGACTCGATCTTCGAGGCGGTCGCAGCGAGACCACCGACACCCGCCCCTGCAGACTGTTTAATTTCCAATGGGTCCGTGGGGTGGTTCGAATGAGGCTGGCCGTCCGAAATCGATCTAGAAAATGGAAAACCAGCCAACAGTCACCGCATAGTCACTATTGTCATCCAACACAATTCATTGGTAGGGTATATAGTATTTTTAGGGATTTTATACAGGCATGCGACAGCGCTCTATGTTTTAGCCACGATTAACTATCGATTATTGACGTTTCTTCTCGTACGTAAAACGAACGGTGTGTTTTAGGTATAGTATAATTACATTACGCGAATGGAGTGCGGCTGGGAACTTACGAGCAGAGACTGGGCGAAATTTCGAGTAACGTATTAAAGCTGAAACATTGTTCGATTCGTTATTTGTTCGATAGAAATGATCAAGTCGAATTATATTTCATGTTGCACGAGTGTAAACTTCTAGACGATTATTCGGTCGAATGAACGTTTTTATTTGTCTACCGTTCGAATAAAATTTTGCCCAGCTCTGAGCGCGAACGAGTGGTCGGTTTCGTGTGATTCGTGGGAAAAGATGAGACTGTTGAGAGTAGGAAAAGAGATCGGGTTGCTGTGCGAATGGAAGCGAGAGTGTGATAATTTTTCTGGAATTCTGTACCTCGTTGTGTATACATCTCTATTTGTATAATTGTGAATATTAACGTATTATGATAATGTGATTTATTACGTGTGATCCTGCGCGCTAAAAGACGCGGAGAAACTTTAAGCGAGTATTTTGTATTACGACAATGCGGAACGATGAAAACAAACACTGGTGCGCGTGCTTGAAAGCCGGAGAGAACGAGATTGAGCGTGAGGAGAGTCTTGTAATCGCAGCTTTTTTTGCCGCCATGGAATATTATTATAATAAACGAAGAATGCGCTTGCGCAGCCGTCGCTCCTTTCTCTCGACGTAATTTCTTCTTCTACTACTTCTTCTTCTTATACTTATTAACAGCGCGTCTGTCATATCCTCGATTTTTCACCGAGGTGAACGATAAAACGTTTGACGTAATTAACAAACTCGCTGCCACGTGTTACATATGCGTGCTGACGATTTTAAATTTCATGTAAGTGTAAGCAAATGAAGCGCGCATTGGTGGAACAGTGTCAAAATGTGCGACGTGTTCTGAATATTGAGTTGACCTGGTTAACCCTCTACTGTGTGTGAATTTTATTTTACCTTTCGAAACAGGACTCATTCTTTGCTTATACGTATATTCGTAGATCACATAATATCCTAGTTAATTTTTGAAATATGTCTATAAAAGAATTATTATGAGTAAATCTTTCAAAATTTTCTTAATGAACTTTAAAACGGTTACTTTCTTAATTAGACACATTTCATAATAGAGGGTTGCTACGTTATATTTGAAAGCCATACATGAAATTTATACTCTTCCTAGGGTGGTCCAACACCCTTATCCAGAGCCCTGAACGATTGGTTACTATGATCATGAACCATCGCGATATTCCCTAATTTATTGTTCAGGGTCTATGGATGTCTTTTCGAAAAAAGGGGCTCGAAATTCGTCGTTCTCGGCCACGAAGGACAACCTTCGAGGCTATCGATCACTTCGTCAAGAAAACATCACTCGACACCGCTCTTCTTGGGGCTGTCCAGCGAAAGTTGACGCAGGATTTGTGTCGAGCCATCCCCAACCTCCTCCGCGAGAATGTCCGCCCTTGTATCCCGTAGGTCGATGTAAAAGATCGTGGCATTTTATTTCTAACAGAATTTTCTTTTGACAAAAATAGTTTGCCCATGTGGTATTGTTTGATAACTTGTTCATTATATTTTATTTAGTTCTTCGTGCTTTATATAAAAGGCCAACCATTTACACTTATAATTAAAAGTCGAAGTGTTTAAACAAAACACACATCAACTATGCTTACTTCGCTGAATATATGACTAAGATTCCTCGTCATTCAATTCGAACCTCCAGAAAACCACAAAATACATAATACACCTATCAAATGATACAAAACCCAGTAAATTATTCTTTTTAGAACAAAATTCTGTTGTTAAAAGTAAAATGGCAGTCATGCATCAGCCCACGATGTAAGCCTGCGAGTATCAAGATAGCCCGTCGCTAGAGTGGGCTCTAAAATAAAAATTTAGGCGAGGTTCGATCGAGCAACACGACCAGAAGCTATTCATCATCGAGACAGTATTGTATACGATTACTAGAGAACCTGTACCTCGACGACTATCGTAAGAGAGCACGGAAAAGTGCGGCAAGACGGAAACAGAAAAATAGAAACGACATCCTTCCAGTAATATCGGGACTAATTTACACAATTGCGACTATCGAAGGTCGGAGACACTTTACGCTGATTTCAAATTCTCCGAAGACTCGACATTTTGTACAACGGAGTAGCGAGCTCGTGCAACGAGTCTAGTAGGTGATCACATGTGATATTTGTATCGGCTATTATTATAAATATAAATATAAATATAAATATAAATATAAATATATATATATATAAATATAAATATTAATGTAAATGTTAATGTATATTAGAGTACTCCGTTAGGATTACTGATAGTAGTTAGGTGGAAGGAAAGCCCATGGAAGAGACGAGCAGGTCGTGAAAAAGTGAAAGAAATATGTCTCCCACCGAAGAAAGGTGCGTTCTCGCTCTGGAATCAACGCCTAATTACACTTTACGCGTACGCAGGCCTACTCGTACGATCATCTCGAAGAAACACGCGAGATTCGAACCGACAAAAGACGAATAGGGCGACGGCACGAACACGCGGAGGAATAACGAGCGGATGCCTCGAAATCCTTCGACACGAGATCCTATAATTTTCTGCTACAAGGGAGCACCAGAGAGCAATGAGCCGCTTCTGCTCTTCCAAATGCCCTGGAAGAAAGATCGAACACCTCCAGATTTATTTCAGAGAGGTACCTGGGGAACACCTGTCGAGGGTACCCTTGGTATCGACAGGTCGCTATTTCGCGTTCCCACGCTGTCCTTTGACAAACGCCATTTTATTGCACGGAGATGTCCTTAAACTTTTGACGATTGGTCCTGAACGTTCAGATTGGGTAGCGAGCTTAATCTTCTGCACTTCGAGAATTATTTTTCATGGGTTTCGTGAGGAATTAATTTTTTTTTTTGGCATCGTTAATCGGTGAATCACCTGTTTACTGAAAATGTTTATTAAGAGATTCCTGAAACTAGATTGATGATTGGTAGCTTAAAATAGTATTCGTACGAGAAGTCACAATCTCCGAGCTAGTTGCTGATTTAGTATTTTCACATTCTTCCAAGGTAGACAGTCTCCGCGATGTCCAAGCAAAATTCCAAACGTGGCACCTTCTGTAAACCATTCGAATCAATATTGAAGGATAACGTCGAGCATCCAATGATACTAACATCCTCGTCCTATCCAATCCTACGAGCCTGTCATTGGGCACTAGCCAACGGGACGAATCAGCCAATCAGCGTCTCGTCTTTCTTTTCTTCTTCTTCTATTTCTCGGATTCTTCGCTTCGTTTCCGACTTCGCGTCGAGATTGGACAGCAGAGACGGGCAAGTTTTATTCGAACGATAGAGGATCATTGAGAATACGCTACTTTGATTTTTTTAATTGGACAACTCCTTTGAAAAAGTAAAAGTTTTTTTAGATACCACAAGGTCAAGGAAACGTAACTAGTGTGACAAGAACAGAAGTCGATTTATTGGAATTGAGAAAAGGCATCAGCTTGTTAAAATTTGATTCGAATAAATTGATTTTTAGAGATCAAAGAAGTGTTCCTTTTCTCTTGAAATGCTTACTTGAAGATTTTGCCCGTCTCTGGTGAACAATGACGTCGCGGGGGAGGGAACGAATCGGAGCCAGAGGAACTCGCGTATGAGAGAAAGCTCGCGACTGCGTGCACGCGCACGAACAACAAAGATGTACAAAGAAGCTGAAAGACCCGCGACGTGTGATGTGCTGGATGCATGTGTGAATAAGAAACGTGAAGAAGCATCGAAAAAAAAAACACGATAAAACGCGAAAGATATCGTTCTTGCAAGCAAATATTTAGTATTCGTCGACATCATAAGAAAACTTTAGTCAGAAATATTTTTGACATGGCCATCTTCTCATCTAACAATTATTTTATCCTCTGCAATGTATGGTGAAACGAATATAGTAAGCGGATTCACGATTAATGTACAAAATACACAATATTTTTTCACAGCCACGTTTCTTCTAAGATTTGATTATCACATCAACGAATATTAAATATTTGCTTGCGGAACGTGCAACTGTCGTTTCTTTGCAAACATTGGCAAGCATAAGATACTGTTGCTTCGAAAACGAGAGAGATTCTACAAAGAGAAACAAGAAAACGACGAGTAGAAGGGTGCAACGCGTTTTGTTTAGGATGGGTTCACGCAGAATTTTTACAGAAATTATTTACTCCGCGCGGAGAGACTTGATTACAACCTTTATATATATATATATATTATTAATATCGCTACTCTATGATTAAATATTGTAAGTACCATTTTACCGCATTGTTCTTTAATTTTAACGTTACTTTACCGTATCTGTTCGTTGTACAAAGGAAAAAGCCAAGATTAAACTAAAGGATCTTAGCTCGCGAACGAAGAGGAATCCGAGCTGATTATTTGTAAGGACGCTAATTAATATTTGAATTAATCGATCGATGATGCGTTAAGCAACCGTATGTGGATGCTGTAGGAGGATAGCTCGACGTTAACGTGAGAGAGAGCGAGTGAGAGAGAACGTTCTTCCTGCGTACCTTTGCGATTAAAAACATTCTTAATTCGATATGTGTGCACTAAATCGCTGATCGATCGATGGGAAACGCGCCGATTGCTGGGTGACGACGTCGCGACGCCGTTTCCCTTGGGGTCAAGGAATATTTGAAAAGGCCTACACGGAACGAAACCTTAATTCTCGTTAAAGTTAAAATTATACATAGCTTGTGGGGATAAATGAAATCAATGTATTTGAAGTCGATGCAAGCAACTTCTCAATATTTGTTAGAGACGTTTTCAACCCATAACTTTCGAATTGGAAAAATAACCTATTCGAACTTAATGGTAATACATTCAATTTTGATTTTAATTCTTAAGAAAGAATTATTACTTAACATAATTGTGGTAAAATTTAAATTAGGAATCGAAAACGTTTTGAATAAATAATTACATTAGATATCTCAAATTTTTAAATGTATTGAATCGACTTAAAACTCAATGAAATTTCTTTACTTTGATTGTTTCGGTGAACGTCCACGGTCAGTCATGTGATCTTTGACGATCCGTTCCGTTTCGATCGATCGATCGTTGCCGGATCGAGAGGGACGTTACGCGTCGCTCCCCACCGCGATTCCCATCGATCCTAATTGTTGTCTGCCTAGAGATTTTTTGCGTTCACGAACGGCGCACGCTTTTTATTCGGCTAACGGAGCGACCGGGCCGGCCGCGCTTTGTAAATAATTCATTAATAAACGAATTTCTCATCGTGCTTGAGTGAGCTTGCTTTCAACTAGAGCCCCCCATTTTACGTGTACGCTTACGTGTGCACCGTGTCAGACCGTCAGTCTTTATTTTACGTGAAATACGAGGCATAATCATCTGCTTGTGTTCCTTCTGATGATTTTCACGGCTGCGCGTGTATTTTGATACACAGGGTACGCGTTTAGGCCCTATTTTCCACGGAGAAGTCTTTCGAGGATTCCCTGCCGCGACATCTTGGAAGGAGCAGAGAATCGAACCGATAGATGGAACGAAATTAATTGGCCGCTCAAGGTCACTTTCAAGGAATAGAGGTTATGACAGGATGACAGATGGAGACAATGCATTTGAATAATTTTTAAAAACTTGTTTCTCATTATGAAATAAATATTAGATCCTCTGTTGGTCATTATTAGAAAATTATTGTACAATGTTTCTTTTAATATCTATTACATCGAATTTTTAGCTCGCAGTGGCCTCGAGCAGTCATTTCATTCTGTTCATTACTGGTAGCTGTCGTTACGCGAAGAAAAAGTCGACGACTGACAAGGAACATCAATTAGTTGCATCAAGTCAACTTTTATGAAACCATAAAGGTTTAATTATGGGTGATCCTTACAAGAGTTTCCACGATCGAGACTAGTGTAGTTCAATTTGTTGATAGTCAAATCTGTTTCTATCGTTTAGTAGGATCCTAAATTAGGTAAGAATTAGCGCCTGAGCCGGCCCAACAGCTCTTATCAGCGAGCGTTTCCTTCGTGATGGATGTTAGGGATGGGATGGAGTTCAAGTACATCAATGTTTGAAAGTATCAATATTAATATATAGATCCTGTCTCACTTTGAGGTTCGCTGTGAGTTAGCAATTCAAAGAAGTGGCGTGGAGAGTCCCGCGACATTTACTGCTTTTCTTTCTGAACATTTTCACAGAGGATTCGAATCTATTCTGTCAGAATTGGATGCTATAATACTCGATCCCATCGCTAACAACCGCCTCGTGTTCGTTCATACGCAGAATTTTTCGTCGCGATACAGTGGTTGGTCATGGACGCTGAGCATTTCAGCTCCCTGGCTACAATTTCCGGGAATAGTCGCAAAGGAGCAAGGGAAATTGGGTACTTTCGGGACAGTCTGGCATTGCCTCTCATAAGAATGTTACTATCGTCGCTTCGCGTAGATCCCGCGAACCGTGGAATGATCGGCTTACTCTGCATCGTGACTACCCTATTATGATGGTAATATTTGTTACGAGAGTGTGTTAAGTGTCAGCGTTATCGCGAAGCGTGCGTCTCATTCGATTATAATCAAAATTCGTCCGAGGGATCACTCTCGACGTGTGAGCGATGAAAAGTTTAGGTGTAGTGTGACGGCACAGAAAATGTTGCTTTAAGTTTCTCTGTAATATATTGTAGAACATATGTGTAATATATATTTTAATTTTTATTTTAACTTTAAGATTAAATTAAATTGAAATTAATGTATAATATCATTACTATCATTATTGCATTGGGGTTTGCATTGAGTATTCGAAGACGTCGCCAGCTTTCGATTGGAGAACCCACGGCCGTGGAACCATCAACATCCTGTGTGCAGAGACGGGCAAAATTTTATTCTAATGATAAACAGGGTCGCAACTTTTGACAACACACGGAAAGAAAACTGAGAATACCATTTAGAGATCCATTTATATACTACCTTATTCACTCTTAATTTATTTGACTCGCACTTCAAATATTAAAAAAATAGACACTTCTAGTATACGTCGTATCTTTTGTTGTATAAAATGTTTATCTAGACGAGAATTTTGCTCTTTTCTGGTGGAGAGGATTGGGGGTCGTTGGCCACCTCGGGATCGCGTATAAAGTGACAAGGAGAACGATCGAGCGAATGAAAGAGAGCGAAAGGGTGAAAGAAAGCTCTAAAGGGCACGTGGTGAGGGACAACGAGTGCATAAGAGAGTGCGAGAGCGAGAGTGAACGGTGGAAATTGAATGGGGCTAAGTTTTTCGAGAGATCGCTTGCGCGCGTGTATTCTGTGCCCTTCGCGTTATTCCACGACCCAAATACGTGTGAACCTCTGTGTGGGTGTGTGCGCTGCGTAAATGAGCACGATAGAAAGTGAGAGAGAAAGGAAGGGGCGCAAAATCGAGCGACTCGAAACCCGCCTCGCAGCACTTTATTCCTCTTCATTCTTTTCTTTCCTCTCCTGGTGATTCTTATTAAACACCGTAGTAGCGTACTCTAAATATCGTTATTTTTTAAGGAGAATTACACGTCGACGGGGTAAACGATATTGAAATATATATACATAAATATATATATTTATTTTCTAAGATATAATATACATATATATAATATCATCTATATGTATATTAAATTATGATAATGCACAAAAATGTAATTATATGTACATGTATGATTATATTAATCTTGCTCTTCATTCGGGCGGTGGTGAGTAAAACAAAAAAAAAAGAAAGCAAAAGCGACGAGATGGGTTTGGGAGGGAGGAGAAGGGAGAGAGAGGTGAGAGCGCGAGAAAGGGAGAGAAAGAGTGACAGAGTGTGTATGAGTGGAACGGGTTGCTTGTGTGCGACGCTTCGAGTAGACGAGGGGTGGATGGCGGGAGGTGAACAGGTGCGGAAAGAGAAAGGGGCGGGGGGCTTGCGGCCGCTGTAACCTCATCTTTCATGAATAGCTTGTATTTCTGCTCAGTGCAAAATAAACGTACGTTCCTGTTGAAAAAAATGAAAAAACAAAAAAAATAATTAGACACGATCACATGTCTCGTCTTCTTCTTCCTTCGACCCCTCGTTCTTGAGCGCAGCCTCGCTTGGGATTCGATGGCCTTCCGGTTCGGTTGGAGTTACCCTGTTCTCGTGGCGGCTAGGTAAGTACACGCGAACGAGGAAGAACGATACCCGATTCGAATTGTTTCGAGTGTTGCGGGAATTCGAGGTCGAAGGACCAACTGGACGAAATTCGCTATTGGGAAAGGTTGTTGACACTTTCAGAAGAAAGGGATGAGAACAAGAGCCCCAGGGGGACGTGTTTGCATTAGACAAGCATGATTGGATAGTTCCTGTGTCTGCGATCTTGTCTACATCGAGGAATGCATAGGTAAGTGCTATTTTAACATTTATACATGTATTAATAATAATTCTTGTTGGTGATTTTACTTCGTAAATTCTTAATGAATATTAAATAATAGACGCTGTTAGGGCAGAAATGTCTAAAAATGTTCAAAATCATTACTAACTAATAAGTAACTAGATTGTGATTTCACATAAGTTTTGTCCCGCTAGATCGCTGAAATATCATACTGCGTCGTCGAGATATTCATAGCCTAGGAGTAAGTGTATCGACACAATAGGATGGGTTGAAGGGGCGATGATCAGCCGTTACGTCGCGTTGTACATACGTCGTGCAGCTTGTACGGTTTTATTGCGAGATCGTCTCTGAAACTATAACCCCCGTCCCCGTGGTCGTCGTAAGAAGGCGTTCATGGCGTTTTGTCATCATAAAGCGTTTTATGGGAAATTATAATGCACCCTGTCCCTATGGGGAGGCTCTAACCTGTGTCCAGATACGATACTATTCTGAGCGAAATATAAAAAGGGCATTCACCACGCTTTTCATCCGATCGGCTCATAAACGACATTTTACAGTCCCTACGCTTCCTTATTCGCCATTTTCGCCCCCCCCCCCCTTGTTCCGAACTTCGTCCCTGTTGCCCTGTTCCATGGCAATGAGCACTCTAAAGAGGGATCGAGCTACTCGATCGTGCCGGTTCGTCGATCAATACCGAGGGAATCGTGTCACTTTGCATGCCTGACACGGCCACGTTTCTTTCCTCCGTTGATTTAATTAGAGTCGAATTAATTAGTTCGCCGGCAACTTGCTGCTGGAATATTAATTTTCATCCAAAGAAGCCGCGATGTTGTCGTATTATCGTAATGGAAACCCTGGCAAGGTAGGTGGCAAACTGTGATGAAGATTTGTAATTACGTCGTCGTCGTTTCGGAGGAGTAGAATTTAGAGTTTGTTTAAACAAATCCAGCTATCGTAACATTACTCTTTTCTTATTTTCCTACTTATTTAATTTTTATATTTTTGATACGATTTATTATATTTATGAATCAAAAGATTCAATCTAGTTTATGTATGCAAAACATGAGCTCTGACAGACGATTTTGTGTTTTTAAATAAATTCACTTAGCGATTGCGTGCAAGAAAACGATTACAACGTGCCAACGCAATAGTACACCCGCAAAGGTTGCAAATCAACATTTCAACGCCATAATCATTAACTCGTGTAATTCCTATTCTCGATCTTGGCTGTTCTTGCGTCAAGCTGTACGTAGATGGGGATATTTCCATTTAGCAGTCTATTACAGTTTATCTGGTAGGAACTTGTAAATGCTATATGCAACATCGAGCAACATAGCGCCTATGATAAGGCAACCACTTATCAGAGTCACGCAATGGTTGCCTACTCCTTCGACAATCCGCAACTACCGTAACAACTCCTTCCCTACACATAAAGTACAAAGTGTTGTAACAGTATCTGAGCTCTGCGTTGCATGAATTTTATTTTAGATTTCGAAAAAGAAATTAGTACATGAGAGGGAGTCTTGAATCTAAGGATATCTATACTTTCGAGTCATCTATAGAATTGAAAAATTACAATACATATCAATTAAAATACCATCGATACTCAGATACTTGATCAATGCACAAAATATTCCAAGACTGGAACATTCCAATCAAATCAGACCGATATATTCCAAATATTTAAATCACCAAAGGTGATTGTTATGTACTAAGTACTGAAATGCTATGCGAAATTCTATCGATAAATTAATTTCCTCTTCCCTCCTATAATTTCAAAGTGTTATGCTCAACACCTATTCGTTTCCTGCACTATTAAAATTGACATAAATATCCCCAAACTTTGTAAACATTCAAGTACAAAAAGAAAAGGGAACTATAGAACCTGCACCAAAATTTCAAACCAAAGAAACAACACAGCAAATGAATCTTCGGACATCCTGGACACTGTTGACAGTCGTTTCGCACGGGAATTAACCAATTGCGGTCCACTTAATTGCTTCCGTTCTAATAACCTCTCATTTACGTGGGACACGAGAAAAGTGTCCCCGACACCTATGCGCTATCGAACCAACTGCGCACGAGCGTCGTGGAAGCTGTTCCACGTTCGTAGCCGCTGGTCTTGGTACGCTTCTAGAATTTCCGCGGATCAGGGAGTCGGTTTACCCCTCGCTCTGGGCGAAAGGAGTTTGCCCGACAACGATACGCGGCAGTTTCGAAAGACAAAGAGCAATGGGAAGCTCGGTGAACTCGAATCTCGCTGCCTCCCAACACGCACGCGTCGCAGGAACTGTAATTTAGCACATTTCCAGGGAGATGCACGCTGACTACATTTCTATTGACCAGTCTTCTTAATTCTGATACATTCTGGATCTGTTTACGTGAGATGTGTGCGTAAAGAATTTGAAATTCGTAAAAAGGTGTAATTGGCATATATTTTATCATTTTAGTTAATGTTCATTTGTATATACAGTCAGTTTCATAAATATTCGTACCCTCAATGTTTATTAAAGAAGGTTTGTCTAAATTGAACAATACACTGTATATTTTGTTATTAAACAACAACACCTTAAAACCCCTCTCAGGATATCCTTCTGTATCTATGGCATACAGTTTCAGAACTCTTCAACCGAAATGCATTCACCGCTCCTCGACGATCCTCAAAGGTCGCGGAGGAATCATTAAATATTTGAAGTATGCCGCTGAAACTCGACACGCTGGGAGCATCCGTAAATTATGCTGTAGTAACTCAGACGTAACGCAAAGGGACTGCATTGAAATCACCCAAGGTCTCCATCGAATGCGACGCTAAAAGGTATCCCGGATTTATCCCTTTACGGAGTCCACGGTCATTCGTAGTATCCTCTCCAGCGGTGGTTCTTTAGTTTCAGAGTATCCGAATTGGTCGAAGTGGCTCGGATTAAGCGAATCCGGCTCGCTAGACGCAAGCCACTCTTCCCTGTCTCGAGAAAAGGAAGACGTTTAAGGGTTTTACCTCTTCATGGGGGCTATATTTTTCTTACGGCTCGCTGCTTCGTCCGGTTACCGGGGATCCTCGAGGCGGATACCGGTCCGAAAATTTTCGGACGTCGACGCATTAGCCGCGATCGCAGCTCCGCCGTTATCGTGACAGATTAATCGACCATGCCTGGCCCTGAGATTGGCGCGCCTTCGTGTCCGTCCACTGGAAATTTACGAGAGGATTCGTGAAGTATTCTGCTCGGGTTTTCATTGTTTAGAAGTATAGTTCTGTATTAAGTAACATTGTTAAACTTAATGGCATAATCGCGTGGTGGACATATGAACGATGAGGTCTTTTAATTGTAATCGTGTGTGCTCTTATTTAAAATTAAAATATCAGGTGCATTTCGTTCGTATTTGATTAAAAACAACATTCCAAAACACTACTAGCGTAGAAACTCCTCATTAAAGTAAAATAAGTATATTATTGCCTGTTACTCTCTAATCTTTACCAAATTTAATTAACAACTCGTGTTAATTATTAGTAAAGTTTGTAGATGCAATAGTAAGACAAATTTCCTAAACTAAAAA